CTGCAATTTGTCCTTGGAAATAATGTGGGCTTGCACTTGTTTAAAGAACATAATACAAAGACATGGAAGAGACATGGGAAGGCAAATTAGGAAAACTCAATGGACAGGCCTCTTGACCTGTCATGATCTTTGATAGTGCTTATGAAAAGTAGTCACATTATGGTTGTTTTTTTCCCATTTCATCTACTTCTGACTCTACTACATTTTCTTCTTAATCTGCACATGCTTACCAGCAAAAAAAGACTACTGAAATCCATAAGGAACTGCATCCTTTTAGTATGTCCTGGTAAATTGCAGGTTGGCACTATTCTGCCTGTGACAACTGTGAGAAACAATAAAGGGCAAATTCTCCATTTTTCCATTTCCAAACCTATTTACTTCTTACATACTAAATGGACAGTGTTATGAAGGGAACATTTTAAATCAGAGTTTGTTCTTTTGGTGTATAGTGTCACAAGTGAGACTGGGAAGGCCCATTTTAAAGAAGAGTTGAATCATTTAGACATATTTTTTCACCAGACTGATGGAAACCTTGAAAGGCTCAATGGTAATGAGCGAACAGGAATCTCTTACACCACAGCCCAGCCTAGCAGTGCTGAATGAAGAGTACATCTTTTCTAGCTGGTTGCAGCAAGACACCTTCACTCTACAGTGGATCAGCTGGCAGAGGAAAATGTAATGCTCGATTTGTCACCATTTGCCATTAGCTTTTGCCCACCCTGCACTGCTGTGAGTAGCTGTTCGGAGCTGGAATAGCTCCTGGTGCTACTCTCCATTGGAAGCAGAACTTGCAGGAATGAAAAACAGAGTGGTGATCAGAGTAGCCACACAGCACAGACCTGCCGAGCCAGACCAATTCCAGTTATATTTGCAAGGAAAAATTTATATTTATGCTTATATATGTACACATACACACACAAATGGTTTTACATTAAAAAAACCCACTGAAATAAAAAAGCCCTGGGCATGCAGATCAAACAGCTAGTCCAGTATCCTAAAATTGTGCTGGAAGGTTGTTGCAATTTCCTTTCCAGACATCTGCCACATCCAGCCTCCTTTCTAAGCAGATGAAAACCAATGGAGCCAAACGATGATGAAAAGTTGTAAGGGCAATGCAGTTAACACTTGCCCCCTTAGGAAGAGAAAATGTGATTTTATCAGCATGAGCGTGTTGCTTGGGCAGCAGCCACAGCACCGCAGGGTCAGAGCTGCTCTGAGCCAAGGCTCTAGCTGCAAGAGCATCCTTGGAGAGACAACACTGGAGCTACTGCTAGAAGAACCAGCTGAATGAAAATGGGCAGCCTACTTTGGTGAGGAAGCAGGTGGTTTTATTGAAATGTATGAACAGCAACATTTGTGAAAGGAGGAGGTTGAATTACTCATGGCTCAAATAAGTTTATTCAGCTTTTGATGGGAAAACTTTTGTCCAACATATTATTCACTAGTATTATACAAGCAGTGCTGGGAAGAATGTGTTTAGTCATACCGTCTTGAAACTTGATGTCTGCTAATGCAGAATGCCAGATTAGATCCAACATTTGAGAATGAATGAGACCATGTGAATTGTCAGAAGCCTTTCTATGTGTACTGGATCCAAGGGTCTATGATAAACACCACTCATCCGACTTTTAAATAATTATTTTTTCATTTAAGAAATGTGGATAAAGTATTATTACAGCAGGACTGTGGGGAAATAGGGGTTTGATGTAGCCATTACTTGTGACCAACAATTTAGAGATATCTCAATATTAAGTTAGCTGTTGTGTAAGTTAAGTGAAAAATTTGCCCAGAATAGTCTTCGTATCATAGCTTGAAACTTATAGCTTTTCTTATTAAAGGTTTTATAATTCTGGCTGAACAACTATGTACATGCAAACATTTACAATAGAGCAGAGAGACACACAGTGCAGCATTCATTATTGTGCCATAATAAATAAATCCACTATTCCAGGACTGTGCTTGACAAACATGGATTTATATATATGGATGTGATTAATAAAAATGGCCAGTTTCATAAACACACCAGAACAGTAGTGGTTTTTACACTATTTATGGTTAAAGTTGTCCCTGCAGAAACAATACTTCTGTTGCTGAAATGATTGCCACATTCAAAGTACACAACGCTAACCACATCAGCAAATACAGAGGCATTGTATGGCATCTCCAAGGGGAACTGGCATAACACAGATCTGGACACTTGTACATCCATTCACACATGCCTGATAATTCCTGTCTCCTTCATTACCACTTTCTTTTATAGCAAACTCGTGGGGCTGCAGGTTTATCTTGAAAAAATCATTCTGTCATGTTGCCAGATGCAATAGTAATGGAAACCTGAACACATTTCATACACATCTGTAAATATTGAGGAGGAGTTAAGTTCCTGACTGACACATCATATATTCAGCTCTTTATAATACTGCAATTTGAAAATTCACCCACCCAGTCTGATGAATCATTCAACTATTCTTTCTTTGTAACACAGAAAAAATTTAGTAGGGACTCTCTCAAAGACTCTGTGACTCACTAACCTTTTTTTCCCCCTTTTGCTGCCAATGCATTCATTTAAAAGTGAAAGATCTAATACAGTTTTGTAGGTTAGCATGTGAATGCTGGCTGGAAGGACTTGGTCACAATGATATTGCTGAGGTCTGCTACCACGCGATATAAATACCAACCAGCTCATTGGTTTCATCTCTGACCGAGTGGTGTGTTTGCAGTGGTAAAGTAGTGGCTACACATCTCCTCACTGTGCATCACTACTGGCTCAGCTCCTGAGCCAATTTAAATCAGCACTGCGCTCTTGACGCCAGCCATGCTAGAGAGATTCATGGCAGCTGAAGACCCATCCTGCAGAGTGCTGTTCTAGGTGGCAGCGAGGCAGAAGGCAGAATGTGCTGGGACTCTCCTGGCTAAATAACATGTTCACTGGCATGTGCATCATTTGGGATTTTACGGTAATTGATGGGAAGATGAGAGATGAAAGGCTCCTTGTGACACAGTTGGGTAATTTGGGCAGTAAGCAGTGAAGTGGGAGAGCCATGCTCAGATCTCGGGTCTGCCAGCTTTGAAATAAACATCTCCTCTATAACACAGCAGAGTCCTGAACCAGATCCTTTATACCCTGAACAATAATCCTAGCTAACCAGCCAGCGAGACCCACCACAGGCTAAGAAACAGGTATTTTGACACGTCTGGTTTTGTGAAAACTTTTGGTGTAGAGTGAAAGCAAAACCCAAACCCAGAACATGCACCCACATGGAGCCAACAACCAGCTCCAGACCCCCATGCTTTCCCCTGCCTTGGAGCAAATCAACAAGTGTTGAAGCCAGTGGTGTTACTCTACTACAACCAGTGCAAAAGAGCAAATTAAGTAAAATCAAGTGTTTACTAGTCATGATGAAGTAATACAGAAGAGAACAAGGTGTCTTGCCCAATTTCACAGTTGCACCATAGAAATGCAGACACTGTCACAAAAGACTATAAACAACCACAGTGACTTCAATCCTTTCATTCATTCTCTCAAGACATCTGCCACCTTTCACAGACTTTTCTGTGAAACACTTTTAACTCACAGACTTGTAGCAAAATACAAGTTTTGATTACAAACTCGATTCTCTCGTGATTGTTTTGACAGCCTATTTGCATAAAATGTCTCGTCATTAAAATGAAGGTGAGAAAAATGCTCATCAATTTGTTTTTCACCAAGAACATTCCTTAAGGCATAGAAAGAAAGGTCAGCCAAAATTCTGAGCTCCACTTTTAAAATATTCACTGAGAAAGCAAAACATATGCAAAAATACATGGAAATATACCAAAATAAGAACAGTGTGCTAAAGACACAAAATTTCAGAAATTGCTTGCAACATTTATGGGAGTTTTAATTGCAAGCAAAACAACCATTGTAATGTTTACTTGAATTTTGTCTTGTGAAGTTTCAGTAATACAGGAGACCTATCTACCACTGCACCTCAGATCAGAGAGATTTCGTAAAGACTCTCCCTCTTCAGGAAGTCAGATCATACTTTTTATTGGTTCTTTATCGCAAAATTGTGAGGCAGCTCTGGTAGATGGACAGGATGAAAACTCTCAATTAATATATTTGGAGGAATTTATTTATACTGGACACTGGAAGATCTATGGCACAGCTTATTTTAGTTTGGTCTCTGAAACTCATATCCAGCTTCGGTAACACACAAAACTAATTATTTTTGTATTCAGACCACTGTAAATCAAGGAGGAATATCCTGAATGTAGCCTAAAAAAAAATAAAATAGATGCTCAAGACCATAATTTTATAATTTCACAGCTGTTGTGTTAACATAAAAAGAGAAGTTACACTGCTGCTTCAGTTAAATGCCAAATTGTTTAAGGAAAACAAACAGACCCTGATGTTTGACACTTTTTTTGCCATGAATACTGTGATTGCCCGCTGTAAGGCAGTAAAAATAACAGATTGTTGTAATCTAAGAAGTGCAAAAGGATGCACCATCTATCACTGTTCCAATTTATTTCTACTATTTCTCTTATTTCCCCACCTCTGTTCCTCCTTCTGACCTCCATGCAGTAAACAAATTACTCTTTATTCTCAGCCTTTGGTTTTGTGACCTTTCCCTGATGCTGTTTTGTGAAGTTGTTGTACTGGATTACAACATTTTTCTGTTCAGGAACATCAGGGCATGTGAGAACTAAAAATAAATGAAAAGTAGTCAGGAGGTTGTTATGGGTTGTATTTAGTGTTTAAAGACCATAGTAAAACACATACATCATAGTATGAGATAAAAACAAGAAAAGGGTAGATTGAGAAGGATATGGAGCTACTGAATGGCTGAGGGCAGAAAGGAAACACTTAACCTTTTCAGAGCCAAATTCCACCCTTGGATAACAATGAAAACTTTTCAGAGGTTTTGAATAAACAGAACCATGTAATCAGATATGTGACAAAATTCCTCTGCTTTGCCAGAAGAAAGCAGCCTGTCCCTCAAATGAAATTCACTCACCTGTGAATGATGTGGTATCTCTGCAAATAATCCAGGGAAAGTGCCAGCTCACAAATGTACAGCTTAACAGTTCCTTCGTTAAAGTGGACGTTCTGTTGCAAATGGTAACGCAGATCGCCTCCGAGTAAGAGATCAACCACCATGAACATGTCTTCTTCGTCTTGAAAGGAATACCTGGAAGAAAGAGTTGGAGCTGAGATCTTGGGGTCAGTGACACAGCCGCAGCCATGCCTTGGGATAGCTCTCCGTAAGTAGATTTGTTCATGGCAAGTCTATGATTTGCTCAAAAGGCATACACTGATTTCTCACTGCTGTGGCCCAATCCTGAGACCAGACTTTGATTGTAGTGGGACGCTCTGCATATTCAAGGCAAGCAGAGCTACCGTACTACTATCTTGATTGTTTTAACCACAGATTAACACCTGAATGTTGATAAAACAGTATTTAAAATACCTTTCAGGTTTATATATATTTAAATAACTATATACTTATTCAGTTGACAAAACGGCTTACTAAATAGCATCAATAAAGTGGAAGGCCTTGAAACACACTTGGTATTCACACAAGCACAACTGTAGCTCACAAGTACAACTGTAGCTCAATGCCTATGGAAAGTATCCTGGTAGGACTGAGAGCTGCTGTCCCAGGGGTATTTTCCAGATTCAGTAAATATACACAATGTTCTATTAGCTGAGTATTTGCTACAGCTTGCAGTGTAGCTCCGAATTCAATAAGAAATGAAACTGTAATTGTACTGCCTAACAATACATATTTTTTCAGTCTGCAACTTATATCTTACAAAATGACAGTTTTCATGGTTACTGACTGAATTCTTCTGGACTCTTTCCCCGAACCCCCTGTTTAATTTTCTGAGGACCAAAT